ACTTTTTGTAAGATCTCAATAATATCAGAATCAGTACAAAAGACATTATATTGAAGAAAAGTAACATGTCTTGCTATAGATATTCAATTTTAAAGTAGAAAAAACATCAGAAAAATCTGAAGAAATGAAAGATTTATAGAACTGCAACAAACTTAACCGGTTCAAATCTGGTTGTCACGTCGCCTTACGTCAAGTGATTGCTCCGTGAATCCCATGACCTCATAGTAAAAATCGTTGTAAATTTCAAGATTTTATTATATGGACATGATTTTTTACATCCCAATAAATAAAATGTGGGAATTTATTCAGACATAGGTCATACTTCACAGTACACAATAGATTTTCCGTAATTCAATGTGTCCTCGAACTTTTCTAACGACCCTCGTATTACTCAAAATATTGTCAAATCACTGATAAATAACAAAATAAAGAGTCAAGTACATACTCAAATTGTAAGTAATGTAAGATTTGAAGAATTGAGTTGATGGGGAAAAGTTTTCATTTTCAATTTCATGTAAACCAATCTTTATGGGGTTTTATGACCCTCTCATCTCGTAAATCAATTCAATATAAGTTTAGCATGCCAAATTGTAATAATGTCATATCTGTGTAAAATAGAATCTAAGAGCCACCTATTTTTACGATTCATTTTCAAAGGGTTGTCAAAATAAAGTGTCACATATTTAACTTTCACATGTTTTGATTTCATCTTAATACTTTGAAATAAAGCATAGGATTTTTTTTAAAAATTAAAACATTATGCTTCAAGAGAGAATACCGACAACGCTTCACTTTTTTTTTTAGAACATCCATCCATTGAGAGCGTCAGATTTAGCTGGCGCGACAACTACGCGGCCATTGTTTGATGGCGGCTGTGCTCTGGTAGGTGCCCTCCATCTTTCGTCCTGATTCATCTCTGACAATGGTGTTTCCGAGGTGGGAGTTTCGGAGATGTAATACTCGTTTTCTGTGTCCGTAATAGAAAGTGGTGTGGATCCACGGCGGGCGTAGTTATAATCTGACCCTAACGGACTAACTCTTCCCTTTGATCCGCGCTTCTGTTCATAATAATCATCAGAGATGTCCGATGGTGCTCGCTCAAATGGGATGTCTTGAGCTTTGCTTTGGATATACTTCCAAATTGCAAAGCCGATTCCGGTTAGAAGAAGGGGTGACATTGCTCCAATGGATGCCGCCATGATTTCTGATCTCGTGTCAAACACGCTTTCCTCCGAAAAGGTGCAGTTGCAGTTTTGTTGTGCATTTTGTTGGCAATCTGACGCAGCCTGTGTTATATATTTATCTTTTCATTATACAATACATTACAGAGGTATGTTGGAGACAAAATAGAAATAAAATAAATTTCTACAAGAATTTCAAACTTATATAATTTTAGACTACCTTATTATTATTCTGAATAATTGAGAGAGGGTAAGAAATTCAAAAAGAAAAGAAAATCAATTTTAAGAAGAAAAAAAATGTAATCAATTCGTATACCCACCTTGATTTTACCAAAGGAAATAAACAAAATTGACAAATAAACCAAAAACATCGTGGTTTTGCGATTTCTCGAATTCCTGGGACTTCTTACAAAATCACTAGCCGAACACGTCACTGATATCACGAGTAATAAATTGTTCGGCCCAGTGGGATATTGATGGGGGTTTGCATTACACCCAAGTCAAGTGTTGTCAGGATTAAATAAAATCCAAATTTAATATATCAATTTGAATTCACCATGAATTGTTTACCAAGTCCCTGTTGCATGTACAAAATAGACAGAAATTGTTTTTTTATGTAGGAGTTTCCCTTCAGTAGGCTGAAGGTATAAAGACATGATTTTTAGAAAGCCTTGTTTGACCAAGCTTTATCACTGATATAGATTAAAATATCTTCCTGGGCATGTTATTGTCTCCAACTGCCTCCCGTCCCGTTATCAAAGTAAGCTAAGGAGCTTCGTAGCGAACCTTAAATTAATAAGATCTAATCTATCAATTTGTAAATACTAGTATTCCCTTAGATATCTTTATTTTAATCTTTTTTAACAAAGTGCTAAAAATGTTCCAAGATGACCAGGTAAATTTGTTTTTACTGTTTTCAAAGTCTTGGACTTTATTTCATCTTTGAGAACAACAAGACTAACTGACCGATCTTCAGATGTCCAGTGTTCCCTGTATGTTGAGTAGGGATTATCAAGCCATGTTTGCTTCATATGCAAGTACACAGCAGATGTTCACGTATAAAATAAAATGGGTTGACGTCATCCTGAATCAGTCGAATTTCCAATTTGCAAAATGTTTGATATTACAAAACAATAATTCAAATCTCTTATCAGGCTATTTTTTGGCCCATGATGAATTTCAAATTAATTCCTTTAGTTATGTCTAGTAATGTGTCCTCTGTCATATTTTATAACTTATTTGTAAAACCAACCTATACTAGTCACGTGACCAAGGGGTATCTAAAGGGTCCCTCTAAAAGCGTCTAAGAGGGTTATGAAGATTTATTACTTGTAGAAGACTATTCATTGTGAAAAACCAAAGAAAGATTAACCATATATCAACAGGGAACATAAAACAGGGCTGAAGTAAAACAAAAGGTTAACTGATGTAACATTTTTTTGAAAGAGAACTTCTGTAATTGTAGCTATAAAAAATCAATGAAAGTTGTCTACGCTTTCTTATTAGACATCTTTGCTCTCTATAATAGCATATTAAAGGTATGAAAAACAATCAGTTATTTAAAAAAACAGAAGTTTTCAATATTAAGATATATCATATATTGAGACAAATCATTTAAAATATAACTGTGTTTGCGACCCATACATGTTCTTACAACTGTTAAGTAGATAAAAGACCTCTACGCATTATAAGTAAGTACATAGGTTTCATAGTATTTCGTTTAGATTGACACATAGGAAGTGTAAAAATCTCTTATCAATAAATTGTTTTGCAATACTAAAAATATTTTTGGGATAAAAAAAGAACTGATTCTGTAATCCGTACATAGGCATTAAACATAATTTACTTGTACTTAAATAATTTAATTGTAGATATTGGATGCAAAATCTGAGTTGTGTCTTTTATCAAAATTCATTTTACATACATTTTTTGAATTCTAAAGAAATATCCTTTAATTCCATGTCTCTACCCATTTACGTGTGAAACGTATCATAATTTTTTTTTTCAAAATGTTTTTGTAATGGCATGTACATGTGAACTTACCCTTTGAACTTGCACAAATACTAACCACTGCTTGGTGATAGCAAGGTGTAAAGTATTAATTCTTATGTTCATATCCGTAAAAAAAATATGAACAGGACATGTTTGCACAGACAGATGGACTGCTTGTGTTAGGTCCTTTTCGATTCCTATATATACATACTCCATTTAATTCAAAACTTTTAGTTTGTGGCGGGTATAATAATAAGACCACTGCATCTGAGGTTATTGCACAAATGGGCAAGGTAGATTTAGTTCCTCCGTACAGGCTATCAAGGCACAAACTGCATCATCAACATCTTGTAAAATTCAAAAGATTCAATTCACAAACTATCATCAACATCTTTGCGATTTCAAATTCACATTAAGTTGAAAGGAGCTGGTTACTGAAGGCATTGGGTTTTTGTGAACAGAAAAAACGTACCTTAAATCTGTGAAACGGCAACATACCCAAATCAAGAAACTTTTACCCAGATTTACATTAAATAATTAATATAGTTTACTATGAAACAATAAGTCTTACCATGGTCTTTATTTATTGCAATTACCATCTCTAGTGTCAAAGTTTTTGGTTTTCCTCACAAACAGACATACAGGGATGTTTTGATATAATCAATTATTTTTTCTGTCATGTTTGACATCATTGTAAGATTGTAATACAGGTATAAAAGGACAAGCTAGTACTAATCAGTAAAGCCCCCACCCTGATAGACTCTCATGAATCAATCTCACAATAATGTGGCATGCCTAAACAAAGAGAGTGTACTAAAATTTCAAGAATTTGCAATGGGTATTCGCTGAGAAAATCGTGAATGAAATTTGGTACATACAGACACACAGATATTCAGAAAGTTCACGTTGTATTCAAACAAAAATAAATGTCACTTTATGACATGCAAAACATGTGTTAAAAGCCCCAATCGTCTACTGTGAGTAGTTGCCGAAAATATGCGAAGAAAAATTGTTACAGACAGACACACAGACAGCTAGATAGACACAAAAGGGTAAAAAAGTATAGTATACCCCTCTCCTTCAAAGATAGGGTGGAATTACTAGTATTCTGTTTGTTTGACGGTACAATGTTATAAATGTGTATAATTCACTTTTAAAAATGTTTGAATAAAAAATAACCTCAACTCAGACAGAATTTGCAAAGAAGATTTAAGTGTGTGTTGCATTCCGACACATATTTCAGTATAATGTTATAATTGTACATATAAGTAATTAATTAATATGTAAGTTGGGGAACATATTTAAATCAACTTCTAATTATTATTAATTATTTGATTATTATTATTTTTCTTCTTCCTGGGAAAATTTTGAGAGAAAAAATCTCTAAGGTAAAATGTTTTTTCATAAAATGTTATGTAGATTTGCCAAACGAAGGTCATTTTGCGCGCACGTGCTTGCAAAGCGCGCACGTGCAACACATACTGCTTTGAGACTAACGCGTTAACCATAATGGATGCTAACTTTTCACTCATGGATACATTAGTCTAGGGCATTTAAATAGCAAGATTAGTGATATGACCTTCGCTCTGACTTAATGTCTCAATATCTTTCTTGTTTCTTGTCATAGATCTAAATTTTGAACATGTCATAAAAGTCTACAGCATTATATAAAAATTTTTATGAAAACATGCGCATGCGCGCGTGCTGCAAAACTTTAAAAATCTCCTTTGTTTTTTGACGAAATGCACTTGAAATTTAAAACATAGTCATGCATTAGGATAAAAATATGAGATAAAAAAAAATCATGAAATCAATGTGTTGCTGCAATCTGTGAAAATGATATGGCTATATTTGTGTTTTTTGATGAAATGTGTGTTTTAAAACATAGCATTCATTTAAATATCCTTCAATACGATAAATAAAAATTTATGAAATCACGCGCATGCATGTGTGCTGCAATCTGATTGGCTGAAACTTCAAATGGCTAAAACTTGTTTTTCAACCAAACAGGATGGGATTTAGAACATAGATAAATATAAGGGACTCCTACAAGAAGGTTTAGTCATTATGCACGTGCATGCACGTGAAATGAGTTAAATAAAAAATACACTTTAATGAGTGTATTTTTTAAAACTTTTGGATTAAATGCTTTGATGTGAAGTATATTAATATTTTAGATATTGTAGACAAGATAATATGGTCGTTACGCACATGAACACGCTTGCAATGCCTATTTTTAAATATATTTTGTATTTTTCTTGGAAGACCTTGATTAAGTCTAAATTTCATACAGTATTTCTCATTTAATAGAGATTACAGGGAATATGGCACCAAAAGGGAGTTGGGGAGCGTTTGGGTATCAAATTATGGTTTTGGTTCAGAATGCAACACGTGGTGTACTAGAAGGTTAAACAACATAACCCTCCAACATTTTCCCATATACTCAATGTTAAAGCGGTTGAGGGTACCATACTTTGATCGTTTATTCCAATATTATCCTAACTTTTTTCTCGCAAAATAAATACACAGCACAAAATTAGACATGTTGAAAATAATGAAAGTAAGTTTAAAATTGTTGGCAATCTAATTTCATTTTTTGCAAAAAACATGGGCCAAAAAACAGCCTTGTGGAAACCTCTTAACCACTGCAACAGTAATTTCATGGACAACAGCTTGTATTTATGGCAAATCGACTGTGAGAAACAAATGCATACAAGGACTTGTGGGTTATACATGTGCTATAGCTGATGACGTTAAATCCTCTATGTTCGTGGGTCTATATTACGGCTTTCTTTTAACAGTTTTTGTGACATCATTGTGCATTCTGTTCTATTTATACACGAAAGTGTTTAAACGTATTTCGCAATGGAAGCGATTTCAATTTCAACTAAAAGATAGCAATATGTTGCGAGTAGAAAGCGGACAATCACTTTCTTCACAAGATAACAGCATACAAGGCAGCAAACAGATACAAGAAAGTAGAAGATCACCATCACTGTTTTCAATCTCGAAAGATTGTGGTCACGTGATGCTGAACGAGATTCGATGGAACAGCCACTCTAAATTTCGGAAGGAAAGCTCAGCTGACTAAAACCACCGTGACACTCTCTGTTGTGACATTGTCCTTTCTTTTTGGCTATTTTCCATACCTCCTGAGTCAGATCCTTCTCAAAAGCTCTGTTGTAAACATTGACGATCTTTCTTTTACTAACAGGGTATTCTATGAAGTTTTAGTTAAAACATACTGCATAAACAATGCAACAAATGCAATCATTTATTTTGTTTATAACAAACAATTCAGGCTTACTGTAAAAAAACTGTTCGTGTAATCTTAATATTGAAGCATCTTTTTAAAACTGCTGTGTTGAATAAATTACATAATAAACAAGATGTGTTTGTGAAACACTGATGCACCCGTATGGCAACATAGCATAGATAAAACTTTTCTTAAATGCAAATTTAATTAATTGGTACAAAAGAAGGGTATTCTCATTGGAAAACAATCGTGAAATTTGAAAGTAAGCCAATGTTAAAGTTTTTTTTTCAACAAGTACAGAAATTTCAAAGGTCAAGGTCAAAAAGTCAATGTAATTGGTATCAAATGAAAGGTATTGCCACAGAGAATACTTACATAGAGTATGAAAGC